AGTGGAATCATTCCCACTTCCACCCCTTGATTCCTGGACCTGTGAATCCTGGCTATAGGAGAAACTGTACCATATATTGGATGCTGATTCAAAGCATACACTGGCTTCTGGAGGACCATGCCTCAGCCCTCCAGGCTATTGCCACCTAATTGGCACTGTAACTGTGCATTAAGGGACCATTCCATTGTTTTATCCAGCTATCTCCTTCAGGATGGTGGGAACATGGTAAGACCAGTGGATCCCATGACCATGGGCCCACTGTCGCACTTCTTTGGCTGTGAAGTGATTTCCCCAGTCAAAAGCTATGCTGTGTGGAATACCATGATGGTGGATAAGGCATTCTGTAAGTCCCTGGATGGTAGTTTTGGCAGAAGCATTATGTGCAGGAAAGCCAAATCCATAACCAGAATAAGTGTCTATTCCTGTCAGGACAAAAGACTGTCCCCTCCAAGATGGAAGTGGTGCAATGTAGTCAACCTGCCACCAGGTTGCAAGCTGGTGGCCATGGGGAACAGTGCCATATGGGGGCTCAGTGTTGGTCTCTGCTGTTGGCAGATCTGGCACTCAGCAACAGCTGTAGCCAGGTCAGCTTTCGTGAGTGGGATGTACAACCTCCATCTCTGCCACCATGGCCACTTTGTTCATGGGCCCATTGAACAATGACAAGGATAACTGAAGAAAGAGGCTGACAGTCCACAGGGCGGGTCATCCTAGCTACTTGATTATTGAACTCATCTTCTGCTGAAGCCACTTTTTGATGAGCATTTACATGACAGACAATATGCTCACATCCTTTGCCCATTTGGAGAGATCTATCCACATACTTCTTCCCCAAATGTCTTTCTCACCAATTTTCCAGTCATGCTCCAAGTCCCTGACCATCCAGCCAAACCATTGGCTACAGCCCATGAATCAGTATATAATCACACTTCTGGCCATTTCTCCTTCCAACCAAAATGCACAACCATGTACACTGTCCGAAGTTCTGCCCACTGTGAAGACTTTCCTTCCCCAGTGTCCTTCAGGGTTGTTCCAGAAATTGGCTGTAATGCCACAGCTGTCCACTTCTGAGTGGTGCCTGCATAGCGTGCAGAACCATCTGTAAACCAAGCCCTAGTCTTCTCTTCCTCAGTCAGCTGATCATAGGACACACCCCATGAAGCCATGGGTGCATGCTTGAGAACAGGAGGCATCATAACAGGAGTAGGAACCATAGGCATTTGGGCAACTTCATGTAACTTGCTTGTGCCCTCCATGCCTGCTTGAGCCTGATGACATATATACCACTTCCATTTGATGGTGGATTCTTGCTGTGCATGGCCTACTTTATGGCTTGGGGGTCAGACAACATCCAGCTCATGATGGGCAGCTCCGATCACATGGTGACTTGGTGGCCCATTGTCAAACGTTCAGTTTCCACTAAGGCCCAATAGCAGGCTAAGAGCTGTCTCTCAAATGGAGAATAGTCCGCAGATGAAGACAAAGCCTTACTCCAAAATCCCAATGGCCTCCGCTGTGATTCCCCTATAGGGGCCTGCCAGAGACTCCCAAACAGCATCTTTATCTGCCACTGATACCTCAAGCACCATCGGGTCTGCTGGATCATATGGCCCAAGGGGCAGAACAGCTTGTACAGCAGCCTGGACCTGTTGAAGGGTCCTTTCCTGTTGCAGGCCCCACTCAAAGGTAGCTGCCTTTGGAGTCATTTGATATATGGGTGGTAGTAACACATCCAGGTGAGGAATGTGCTGCCTCCAGAATCCAAACAGGCCCACCAAGCATTGTGCTTCTTTCTTAGTAGAGGGAGGGGCCAAATGCAACAACTTATTCTTCACCTTAGAAGGAATGTCTCTGCATGCTCCACACCACTGAACTCCTAGAAATTTCACTGAGGTAGAAGGCCCTTGAATTTTGGTTGGATTTATTTCCCATCCTCTCACATGCATATGCTTAACCAACAAGTCCAGACTGTCTGCTACCTCCTGCTCACTGGATCCAATCAGCATAACATCATCAATATAGTGGACCAGTGTGATATTTTGTGGAAGAGTCAGGCAATCAAGATCCCTTTGAACCAAGTTATGGCACAATGCTGGAGAGATAATAGACCCTTGAAACAGGACAGTAAAGGTATACTGTTGGCCTTGCCAGCTGAAAGCAAATTGCTTCTGGTGGTCCTTATGAACTGGTATCGAGAAGAAAGCATTTGCCAAACCAATAGCTGCATACTAGGTACCAGGAGACGTATTAATCTGCTCAAGTAAGGAAACCACATCTGGTAGAGCAGCTGCAGTTGGAGTCACTATTTGATTAAGTTTTCAATAGTCAACTGTCATTCTCCATGACCCATCTGTCTTCTGCACAGGCCAAATAGGAGAGTTAAAGGGAGATGTGGTGGGAATCACCACCCCTGCATCTTTCAAATCCTTGATGGTAGCACTAATTTCTGCAGTCCCTCCAGGGATGTGATACTGTTTTTGGTTCACTACTTTCCCTGGCAGAGGCAATTCCAGTGGTTTCCATTTGGCCTTTCCAACCTAATAGCCCTCACTCCACAGGTCAGGGAACCAATGTGGGGATTCTGCCAGTTCCTAAGAATATCTATCCCAAGTATACATTCTAGTACCGGGGAAATAAATAACCACAGGATAAGTTAGGAGACCCACTGCACCCACTGTCAGACTTCAACCAAAACTCCATTTATCACCTGACCTCCATAAGCCCCTCCTTTAACTGAAGGGCCACAATGCTTTTTAGGGTCTCCCGGAATCAGTGTCAACTCAGAACCAGTATCCAATAAGCCACAGAAAGTCTGATTATCTCCTTTCCCCCAATGTACAGTTACTCTAGTAAAAGGCCACAGGTCCCTCTGGGGAAGGATGAGTGAGAGGCGAACAGCATAACTCTTTGGTACTGTGACAAAGTCCTTCCTCAAGGGCACCTGGCCTTCCCTTCATTCACGGGGCTCTGGGTCTGTAAACTGTCTCAAGTCTGGAAATTGGTGGGCTGAGTGAGATTCTCTATTGCTGTGATCCAATACTGACTTCCTGTCATTTGTCCTAGAGCTTTTCTGGTTATACAGATCAAATAAAAACTTAGTAGGTTTCTTATGTATGTGGTCCCTGGAAACACCATGATTGATTAGCCAGTACCACAGGTCCATTTGAGTTATGCAATTGTAGGTATTGTTTTACCTTTGCCACCCGTTATGATAAGTATGCTCACCTTGTCTTTGGTAATTCGGTATTGCCACCTGACCCCTACTCCGAGGTCCTGTTACACCTATCGTATTTACATTTAACTTATGCAGTTGAGCAGCAGCATCTCCAACTGTAAGATTCGGCATAAGGAAAAGAGCGAAAACAAAGCTCCTCAAATGTTCTGGTGTCTCTCTCAGTACTTTCCATCCAATAAAATCAGTAAAAGGCATGTCCTCTGGGCCCTCCCATTGTGGAGGATTTGGTGTTGCACTGCGAATCCACTTGAGCATACCAATTTGCCTGAGCCTTACAATCCCTTCATCAACACTAAGCCAAAGGATATCAGCTATCTTCAACTCTCTGTCAGTAGGTCATCTTTTGATAAATACTTCAACCAACCAATCAAATAAACTTTTAACATGCTTTTTAACTGTACAAGCTTCCATATTAAACCTAGAATCTCCAGTCGGGGGGAGGGGTGTCAATAAACTCAGCCTGATCCAATTTTATGTTCCTTCCATCATTATCCCATACCCTTAAAATCCATTCCCAGACATATTCATTAGACTTCTGCTTGAAAGAATTAGCAAATTCACTAAGTTCTTTAGTGGTGTAGCACACCTCCTCATGGACCACACTTTCTAACTCTCCTCTAGGGGCCTGTTTAGCTTTGAGTCAGGTTGTAGGTCTAGAGGCAGCAACAACTGGGCCCTGAGGGACATCAGCTTTGTCTTGCTGAATGGGATTAGCTTCCTCAATGGGATTAATTTCCTCAGGCAAGGGTGGGGAGGGTGGGTCTGCTGAGGGTGGGGACATTAATTCATCAAGTGAATCAAATTCCTCAGTCTGAGGATTCAAAATCCTCAGCCTCCTCAGGATTCTCCCACACGTCTCTGTCTCCATCCCACATTGTCAGGATTCCAATCTTCCCTACCAATGCCCTCACTTTTACTGCTGACACCCTTTGAGGCTGGGAATTAAATTTGCATTGTAGGTCAGCCAAACGTATAATAAGGGCTCCAGCTTGATTTTCTGTAGCTTTAGCTCTCTGGCTGCTGGAGAGCAGATTCTCTTCCAAGGCACACTTGGAAACATTTAAGCTGTTGATTCGAATCTGGAGCTTGTCAATTTTATCATTAAGCTCGTTGTTTATCTTCATCACTTTATCCAGAGATGCTAGAAGTAACCAGCCAACACCATTATTTTTCTTATTTTTCCACAAATTGTCAAATGTTTTATGTATAGATTCACTAAATTTCTTGCTCTTCACAAGAGGTGAGTCAGGAGATTCAAATGCATCTATCTCCATAATTGTTTCAAATAGTTACACCATGGATTTTCAGTGCTCTCCATGCTATCTGAAGACTCTGAGTTTGAGAGCATGCTCCAAATACCAACAAGCCCATTAAAGAAATACATCCTTTCAATTCTATTTCTCTAGAACCACTTCTGGTACCACAATCTGTATTAGTCAGGGTTCTCCAAAGAAACAGAACCGATAGAATGAATATATATGTATAGAGATTTATCCTCTTAGCTCACAGGATAGAGTCCAAGTAGTCCAACAATGGCTGCACCACATTGGAGAGGCTGAGAATCTGTAGTCGCTCAGTCCATGAGACTGGATGTCTCAGTAGTCCCAATTTGGTGCTGAAGGTCTGACAAATTCCAGAAGATCAGCTAGTCTTCAGTCTACAGCAGCAAGTCGAACTCACCAGTGAGAGAGAAGGCAAGCAGCAGGCAGCCTGGCGGTCTCCTCTGCTTTGGCCTTTTATATAACTGCCATCAGAAGGTAACACCCATATTTAGGGTGTGTCTTCCAGCTTCAGATGATCCAATCAAGAAGATCTCTCTCATTTCAGTTAATCCCAGATCCAGTCAAGTTGACACCCAGGATTAGCCATCACAGTATTTATGCTCTATTTTAACAAGTTTCAAAACCACTGAAAATATACACTGAAATGTAGGTAGATGAAATAGAATTAATCAGTTTCACCATGAAAACAGTTTAATATGAAATATGGCATTTTTCATAGTCTTACAAAATATTACTTATGCCTTAAAAGTCTGCCTAATCTTTATTTACATTTCAAGACAATAATGCTATTTCCCTACTGAACTCTTTCAATAAAAATCATCACTTTTGTATTATTTCCACTTCCTCATCACCAACAGAACCCTTACCAAATTATGAAAACAAAGTGTATTTTTTGGCTGCTATAATTTCCTATTTGACCAACTATAGGATTTCAGAATGTATAAGACCTTGGTAAAAGGATTTGCATTGATGTTGGCTTACTAAAGGCATTTTACTAGACATGAATGGGAGAATGAATAATGCTTCAATTCTGCAATGTCCAGCCTTGAGAAAACAGTGGCTGACAGCCAGCCCAGGGTACTTTGATTGGACAGCAGTCAGTGTTCACTTGTACTTGAGAAACAGTGCCATTCTTCCCACTCAGTTTTAGCAACCAGTATCTGAGGAAGTAGGGTAGCTATTCTGCAAATAAGTAATCAAGTAGCTAAGGAAAAGTAACTGAAGAATGAGCACGTAAGACCTTCACATCACATTTGAAGAAACCATTCTATTAACTTTTACTACTACCTTAAAGCTTTTATCAATTTTTCTGCTTAAAATATTTGAGGGTTTTTTTTTGTTTGTTTGTTAATTGAAGGGTGACTTCTTAGTAGTTGAATAAGTACTGGAAAGGCATTTTCCTCTACAACAAATTGTTGACTCATGGGATTGTTTGTATGGGCTACACCTGTAAGAGTTGCATATGTCAGTGAAATAATATTTTTTCCATATTGTAAATGTAAATCTGACTAAACATAGCTTGATTTGGGTTGATAAAGTATCCTAAGGTAATGTGACCAGGAAATTCCAACGGAAAATGGTATATTATCACTATTTCAATAGCCGTACATTAGATTTTCTTAAAGGCAGAATGAATAAACATGAAAATTTTATTAGAATTATAGATGACTTTGTAATAGAGGTGTAGCAAATATATTTGAAAAAATGCTACATTAATAAAGAACAACAGCTATCATTTGTTAAAAATATTGCGTGTTGGGCTGGAGAGATGGCTCAGCGGTTAAGAACACTGGCTGTTCTTGCAAAGGACCCGGGTTTGAATCCCAGCACCCACATGGCAGCTAACAACTGTCCAGAACTCCAGTCCCAGGGGATCCGACAGCCTCTTCTGTCCTCCGCGGGCATTGCAGGAAACAGGTGCACTTACTTACATGCAGGCAATACACACATACACATAAAATGAAAATTTAAAAAAATTTAAGTTTAAAAAAATTATTTTCTTTTAAAATAAATGAGATTCCTTTCCTTCAAAATAGTCAATGATCATTGTCTTCAAGTTCCATTCTACCCAGAATTCAAGAGCAGGCAGTTGTAAAATCCTTAATTATACCACTTTTTCTTGCCAAAGTCTTGGAGAAACCTTTTATAAACCTTTTAGGTCTCTAATGATGTAAATAGAGAAAAAGAAACTAACTTCTACTTCTCTACTTAAGGCTTTCTTTTTTGTATTTAAGAAATTGAGACTACAAACCAATACAAATGGATCCCAGTGCTCTGATGGCACTCAGAAGTGTGCCTTCAGCTATTCTATTAATTCTTAGTAAGCGACCAGTGGTGCAATTCCATTCCCTTCGCATATTTGATTTTGATGCAGTCTGCTGTCCTTACTTAGAGCTATGACTGCTTCACCTCCTGGTAACGAAATGTAAGAGACAGATAATACTTCAGTGCCTGCAACAGCGTGCAGCTACATATAGAAAACATTAGTGCCTGCAACAGCGTGCACCTACGCGTAGAAAATAACTCACCCACATACTGCATCTTAGCCGATGGTGACAAAAGCAGATTTATTAAAAAGTTGTATCCGATCTGTTCTGCCATATACTTTTGTTGTTTCAGTGTTTTCCCTGCCAAGGCCCAAAGTGCTATGGCTCCTTGTTCCTTAACATCTAGTTGAAATGCCTGTTAAGAAGAAAACACTCCATTCAGTGACATTTTTTTTTTAACTTTTAAAAAAATTATTGAGAATTTCATATCTGCATATAAGGTGTTTTGATCAAATCCATGCCCACTTCCTCCCCTCCAGCTTCTCCCATATCTCTCCATTACTTTTTCCTGAACAACTTCATGTACTCTTTCTTTTTTAAAAAATGGGTTTTTTTTTTTTTTTTTTGCTACTCTAACATCCCCCCCCCCCTTAGAGGTAACCCTGAAATCTTTTAGAGATTAGATAAGAGTTCCCAAATACTTTTGACATTTTTGGCATCTGGAATGAACAAGTTAAGAGGCCCAAGGAACAGATGGAAAATGTATTTGTTAATGTTATTATGTCTCATAATTATTAAAAAAGAAAATGAGAATGTAAAAGTTGTTAAAAGGATATGAGAATGGATATATTTTCCAGACTAGACAGAAAAAAACAAGAAAGACTAAGCAAGAGATGAAGGTCAGTGACATTTTTTGAAGACATTAGGAATCTATGCTTTTGTAAAATGTGCATTCTAGGATTTGTTTTCATTTTCCAACATCCAAATTCAAAATTAAGTAAATCATCTAAAACATTAGACTGTAATGATAAAATTCCCACCTTTAGGAGTTTTAGAAGATCTTTAGTTAAGTTTCTTTCCAGAAATGCCTTCTGTATGAAAGGATTATGGCTTGCCAGTGCTTCCACAGCCATTGCACCTTTCACTTGGACACTCAGTTGCTTCCCTTTAAAAAGATCTACTAGGGGAGGAATTGCTCCTTCTCTAGCTATAGCATCCTGAACCTCCTTATTGTCACGTCCAACCTCAGCGATCGTAGCAGAAGACATTGCCTTCAACACATCTTCAAATGAATTAAAAAATTTAAAAAAATTTTAAGATGTAAAAATCTCAAATTACATTATAGCTTCCCTTATCATAAAATCAAAATTTTAAGTTCAAAGAAATTCTAGAAAAGAAGCATATAAAATTAGACTGTCTAGATTACCACTTAGTGTTTTTAAATATATTGTTTTTAAATTTTATGTGCATGACTATTTTACCTACATGTGTGTGCAACATGTTCATTCAGTGCCCTTGGAGGCCAGTAGAGGGCTTCAGATCCTTGAACTGGAATTCTAGACAGTTTTTACCACCATGTGGGTGCTGGAAAACAAACTTGGGTCATCTGTAAGACTAGCAAGTGGTCTTAACAGCTGAGCCACTTTTCTGCCACCATGGTGACATTTCATATAGCATTACAGGGTACCCATCTATCTTTCATTGGGGATGTTAATTTTGATTCCTCGGTTTTTACATTGTCTAGTTTTTATTTTCTCCTTGCTTCTAATAAAATAATACTTTAAAATCATATAAATACTCTGTTCTTCATCAAGATTGACCAATACTGAGCAGTAACGTCATTTTTCCCTGATTCAATGTTAAAATGTTTACAAAACACTCATTTGCCATATGTACCCCCTCCTTACTCAAAAAGCAAAAATAAAAACAAAAACTATGAACTCACTTTGAAGCTGTTTTATCTTCATAATCTCCTACAACTTAACAACTTGGTTCAGAGAAAACAGAATTAGTTGTTAAAATACTAAAGTTATGTGTAACATTTAAGAAGAGAGAAAAATAAAAATTTCAAATTTAATTTTTTAATAATCCTTGGAATAAGAATAGTATAGATTACAGTGTAGGAAATGCTGCTTTTATTTAGCTTTTAGATAAAGCTAGAGTCTAAAAGGGAATTACTTTAATTATGCTATTGCTTTTTTTCATGAACTCACTTACTTATTTAAATTGCTACTATAACTATTAACTTTTCCAGCACCTAGAACAGGCCAGAAAAAAGAAAAAGAAAAACCTAGTCCCTAGTTTAATTAATTTATTTATTTTTAATTAAAAGAAGCTTTTCATTACAACAGCATTAACCTATTCAATAACATTTTTCTGAGCTAGGGTACATCTCTTTCAAAATTGGCTGTACATTTCTAGGTTTACAGATGAATTATTACGCTTATATAATCTTTTACTCTGTCTAAACCCTAAAGACATAAAATTAAATGAGGTTTTAACCTTT